GCTGCAGAGGGTAGGAAGGTGTAAAACATTCTACAACTCACGGGGCAGCCCTAGAGGATGATCTGGCCCCAAATGCTGACTGTGCTGAGCTGAGAAACTGCTTTACAGGGAGGAAGAACCTTGTAGGCAAGGCTGTGTCAGGCACAGGACTCTTCAGCCTGAGGCCAACCTCACACACCAGCAGATGGGAAGAAAACCTGCAGCGTAGAGCGCCCAGCCCTGTTTAGTTTCACCACCTTCTCTTCCTGAACACGAAGAAAAACTCAGAGGCCAGTCAGTCAGGACACAGTAACAGCAAATGCTGAACACTCTGCCTCCCCTGCACAAGGAGAAGAAACTCACCCTGACACCACCAAACCTGCGTCCTGTGTCCCCTCCCTGTTCTCCCTGTCCCTTTGCATGCTGATCAGGGCTTTGCAATTTTTTTTTTTTTTAACCGTGACTGTAGTGAGTTGAATGATGGCCACATCCTAATCCCTACAACCTGTGAATACGTGACCCTACATGGAAAGAAGAGACCCACATTGAAGATCTTTAGATGGGGAGACTGTTGGGGGTAAGCCTGGTGTCACCACAATGATCGCTACAGTAAGGGAGGTGGGAGGACCAGAGACAGAGGAGGAGAAGTGACAACAATGGGAGGCTCCTGAGCCAGAAACCCACACCCCCTCTGTACTGAGCACATCGCAGACCCTCAGAGTTTAATGTTTGAGTATTTACGACTTTTCCAAATTTCACCCTCACATCAGCCCTATAATGGCCACTCTTGCTTTCACACATGCCTGCCTTTCTGCATGTGTATGTTTAGGTTAAATATTCAAAAGCAGAATTGCCAGGCAGCTCCCAGAATGCTGCACACAGGTACACATGCAAAGGGAAGAACTGCTCCTTGAGCTATCCTAATGCAATAAGAGAGGAAAAGCAGCAGTGTCACCATCAACAATGATGAACTCTGGGCTCGCTCCAAGTGCCACGCTCCAGGCCAGGGATGTAAGTGGGACCCAGACCCAGCAAGGGCACAACCCCAGCCTGTGCGGCCTTTTCCCAGGTAGCAGGGAGGCCACATGAGCAAACAGGCAAGAATAATGAAGTGCAGTCAGCATTGGATTAAGGAAAGACTATAGTGCTATGGCCACAGGATGAGGTTAAGGGAGGGGAGGCACTCCAATGCACAGGCAGAGGCTGAGGCAGACTGGAAACCTCACCCCAGAGATTGGGAAGACCCTGGCACATCCCATGACCTGAGCATAGAGAAAGGCAAGGGCCGCAGCTAGAGAAAGTCCCATACAAGTTTAGAATTCTATCTCAGAGAGAGAGAAGGCATTGCTGGGCTTATGTAGATGTTGGCTGGCTGGAGAATATCCACTGCGGGGAGTAAAGGTGCAATAAGGAGAAGTGGCTATCACCAAAGGCCTGGACTCAAGGGACAGCAAAATGGAGAGAAGTGGGCAGATTCATTCTCTACATTGGAAGTATAATCAGTTATGCAATAGAATTGGGAGCGAAGGCTCAATAATGACATCTCTTTTTCTAGATTCAAGAACTTGGGAAAGTTTCCATCTTTTCCCAGAGTGAACAAGAAGGAGGGGGGGAATCAAAACATGTTAAGGCTGGACACAATTTCCAAGTGGGAATGTTACACAGGCAGTTACGTTTGCCAGCCTGAAGCCCAGAGAAGAAATTGGGTCACCACAATAAAGATATTTAAGTCCACGAGACTCAGCAGCACTTAAACTAAACAGGAACAATCGAGTTACAGAGAGGGAACAGGACCCAGGACCAAGGGAACTCAATGATTTACAGATCTAATAAAGGAGGGGCCTTGTGTACACAGAAGAAAATCTGGGCCTTTTAATTTTCTGTAGGCTGAATATATTACAGACAGAAGTGTGTAGATAAATCTATAAATTATCTACTTTGACACCATACTTAAAATAATTTATTATACTCTATTTTGTCTGCCTGATCAAATTCTAAGATAAGTGTTTTAGTTTCTCATATAGTCCTTCTCATATTTCCTTTAAGTACACAATTTTTGTTTTATATCTATGCTATGGTGTCTGGCCCATAAACATTCAAGATTAATGTATCTTCTTCCTATAGCCTTTTATCACTAAAGAGATGATAAGGCCAGGCCTTAATCCTGTAATCATGCCTGTAATCCCAGGACTTTTGGAGGCTGATGTGGTTTGGTTGTGTCCCCACCTAAATCTTTTTATATTGTAGCTCCCATAATTCCCACGTGTCATGTTATAGGAGGGACCCAGGTAACTGAGTCATGGGGGCAGGTCTTTTCCTTGCTGTTCTTGTGACAGTCTCACAAGATCTGATGCTTCTATAAAGAAGAGTTCCCCTGCACACACCCTCTTGCCTGCTGCCACGTAAGGTGTGACTTTGCTTCTCCTTTGCCTTCTGCCATGATTGTGAGACCTCCCCAGCTATGTGAAACTGTGAGTCAATTAAACCTCTTTCCTTTATAAATTACCCAGTCTTGGGTATGTCTTTTTTTTTTTTTTTTTTTTGAGATGGAGTCTCGCTCTGTTGCTCAGGCTGGAGTGCAGTGACGCGATCTCAACTCACATTAAGCCTGCAAGCTCTGCCTCCTGGGTTCACGCCATTCTCCTGCCTCAGCCTCCCAAGTAGCTGGGACTACAGGTGCCTGCCACCACGCCCGGCTAATTTTTTGCATTTTTTTTTTTTAATAGAGACAGGGTTTCACCATGTTAGCCAGGATGGTCTCAATCTCCTGACCTTGTGATCCACCCACCTCTGCCTCCCAAAGTGCTGGGATTACAGGCATGAGCCACCACGCCTGGCCCAGGTATGTCTTTATTAGCAGCATGAGAACAGACTATTACAGAGGTCAAAGCAGGAAGACTGCTTGAGCCTAGGAGTTGGAGACTAGCTTGGACAACAAAGTGAGACCAAATCTCTACAAAAAAATAAAAAACTTAGCTGGGTGTAGTGGCATACACTTGTAGTCCCAACTACTGAGAAGGTTGAGGTGGGAGGCTCACTTGAGCCGGGAGCTCAAGGCTGCAGTGAGCTGTGATAGCATCACTGCACTCAAGCCTGGGTGACAGAGTGAGACCCTGTTTCAAAAAAAAAAAAAAAAGAAAAAAAAGATAAAAGTGTCCTAATGCTGTTGAGCTAAAGGTCTACCTTATCTGATATTATCTTGCCACCCATTTCCTTATTTGTTTTCACTGATGGATCTATTCTCATCCTACCACCTATTTGTCAAAGCCTGGATCATCTGACTCTTCTAAGTAGCACGTATCTTTAACTTTTTATTTTCAATTCAAAGTGTCCACTAAAACAAGAGTTCTACCTATCACATTTACTGTGAAAACTAGTCGTATTTCTGCCATTACATATTATGTTTTCTATTACTTTTCAAGTTCAAGACCAGCCTGGACAACATGGTGAAACCCTGTCTATACTAAAACAATAAAAAAATTAGCTGGGTGTGGTGGCGCACATCTGTGGTCCCAGTAACTTGGGAGGCTGAGGCACAAGAATCGCTTGAACCCATGAGGCGGAGGCTGCAGCGAGCTGAGGTCATGCCACGATTCCAGCCTGGGTGACAGAGCGAGATCCTGTCTCTAAAAAAAAAAAAAAAAAAAAAAAAAACCAGGACTATTTTTTCAACTTGACAAAATATTTAAGCTTCTTTAATGAAAATAACGATCTATGAGAAAAAGAGGTGACAGTCACAAACAGTTCACAATAAAATAAACTGCACGGCTGAAAAATACAAAAAGCTGCTCTGTATTAAAGACATATAATCCCAGCACTTTGTGAGGCCAAGGCAGGAGGCTCTCTTGAGGTCAGAAGTTCGAGACAAGTCTGGGCAACATGTGAGACTCCGTCTATAAAAAAAAAAATAATAATGAAGACATGAATCAAAACATGCTGGGGCCTATGATCTCAGCCTCCTTCCCTAGAAAATGCCCCAGGCCTTCCTACCTTTCAGAATCCACTGACCACTCAGGCTGTACTTCCTACATGACAGGCACTGTACCCTGTTCTCTGCCTGAATTCATGCATTTGATCTTCCTTGTAACCCCACAAAGACAATTATCAGCATTTACCCTGTTTTCTGAAAGAGGAAACCAAGGCAGAAAGAACTTGAGTAAAACTTAACTGAGGCCTTGTGGCTGGGGAGAAGTGGGGAGCTCCACAGCTCATGACCCTAAGCACACTACCACTCAGGCTCCCAGCCTCCCCATCCCATATACCCCGGCCCAGCCCAGCCCAGCCCAATGCCCCTGTTCTTTTTCTTAGCATCCTTGGCTTGAGGTCCATCTCTTGGCCTCTCTGACCTGTTTGTTCTGTGTAATCTGCCCATGCCCTTGACTGCCCTCTCTGCCCAACCCTGCTAGTTTCTGAGTCCTGGGTGGTATAGGAGTTCAGGAAGACCAGTATCTGCTCAGTCACCATCCCCTTACAGCTGCAAGCTCATGCTCTCACTCCCTACTTCAGCCCCCTTCCACCACTGTCCTCTCTTTGCAGACAAATCAGCCTTTTAATTCACTCCAAGGGATGACTCTGGACTCTTTCAACTTCCTGGCACACAAACTCCTGCAAGCCTGCACTCATTAGTAGCTCCCTTCAAATTCTGAGGTCAGATGTCTTCTCTCTGGTCAAGATGAATCCATAGCCCAGTGCCCCACCCCCATGACGCTTCTCCTCTCAGCTGAGGCCTGAACAGAGTGACCAACACTTTGTTTTCCCCTCCTTATCTTGCCCATTCCTGCTCTGCTCTCTCATTCCTGAACACACACACAAACACAAATGTAGACCACACCCAAGAGGTCTGCCCAATATCCTGTGTGATACTATCCTGTCCTGATGCTCCTGGCCTTCCCTGGGGAATCTCTCACTGCCTGTGTCCATCTCTGCTCTCTAACCCTGTCCTTCCTTGTCTGGAGGCATCCAAGGGCAAGGGCTGAGAACACTCACTTTGCAACCTGCTTTCAAAGTACTGCCTCCATTACCTGCTGCTGTAGGACTCTGAACGGGCCTCTTTAACCTCTCCAGGCCTCAGTTTCCTCATCTGTAGACATCTGGAAAGACAGCAAGCCCTGCCTTGTGAGGATGCTGAAAGAACTGAGTTGCATTTACAGAGCTTAACATTGTGCTGACCTGCAAAAGGGGCACAACAGATGTATTCATAGTGATTATACTTGGACATAAAATTCTCCTTCTTTCCTCATACTAGACCTGTGTGGGGGCTGAACTGGCAGAAGTCCCTCCGGCTGCAGGGCTAGGGAAGGAGTTGCTTTCTCTTTCCTTTTCCAGTTTTCTCCTTCCCTGCTTGTGGGGTGATGTGTCCAATCTGCTCCAGGTTACATGTCCAGCCCAAACGTCCTGGACTTCCTGCCGCTGCCATTCCCTCCTCCACATTCAGTCATGTCACCCACATGCTCCTCAACTCCCATGCAGAGACTGACCAGGAATTCCACAACTTGCCTGCACTGTGACTTCTATCCTGGCTCCACGCTGGAAACAGAAACACAGTCTTCCTCCACTCCTTCCTGTCTTTTGGCATCCCTCCTTAAACGGAGTCATTTCCACAATCAGATGTTTCCCTACTCCCTTACACTCTGAAATCCAACCCCATGCCTTCCTCATTAGCACTGCCTTGTATGGTCCCCATCAAATATCACCCAACACAAATGCAACCCCGATCCCTCACTTACAGGCGTTACATACACATCCCATCCTGTTCACCTCTGTAGTCTCTCACTGGGGTGCACCAGCAGCGCTTAACCACTGCAGGCCCCCAAAACCCCAGTTACCCCTGCCCTGCCAGGACTGGCCTTAATCTTCTCTTCACTTGAAAAATACACACGTTCTCTTCAAGGTTCAAGCTTCACGTACCATTGGAAGAAAATGTGTCCACGTCTGGAGCTGGGATGACCTCTGGGGTCCAATAGGCGCCACCTGGTGCCGCTGTACCAGGAGGCTCTTGGCTGCCACCTGTGGATAAGCCGCAGAAGATGAGCTAAGGGAGGCAAAAGGAGCCGGGAGAGGCCCACTGGGTCGGCAGCCCCAGAGCTCCATACTCCGGCCTGAATCTCCAGCCCCTGCAGCCCTCGACCCAGGCCCCTTCTGTCGGGAGGGCCCACCCAGTCCTACCCCCTGCCCGGACCTGCGAGGGGGCCCGGCCTTATCAGTTCCCTCCCAGCTCTGTAGCAAGAGAGCCTCCCAACAAGCTCAGACCCAGCCGGGCGGTGCGGCAGGGGAAATCTGATTGGAATGGCCTTCCCTGTCCCTGAGGCCGGAGAGATCCCGATCCCATCAGGCCCCTGCCCTTGCCCGGCCTCGCCGCATGAGGGACTCCCGCAGGCCCTGCTCGTTTCTCCGGCACGCCCAGGTCACTTGGGGCGGCTCTGGCCTGGTCCTGCGCTCCGGCCGCACCTGGCTAACAGTGAAACCTCCGCGCCAACCTTGAGGGGGCCAGACTCACCTGCACGCACCGGGGAATGGCGCTGCTTCCGGTGGCCGGCGGACGTGCCCGCGCTCCGCGCAACGAACAACTCCCAGAATTCCGCGCCGCGGCCGTTGCTCCCACAGGTGTATTCATTGCCGGCGGGAGCCTGCGGTCCCGCGGCGGCGAGACGAGCTTTTTCCTGTGTTCGCGACTAGCATTGTGGCTTAGGGAGTTGCTTCCCGCGGCTCTGCTCCTTGGCGCGCCTGTGCCCTCCACCTTGAACGGGCCACGCTGGTTCTCATCCAGCAACCGAAGCCGAGACTGTGGAGGCGGCGCCCGGCGTCCAGGGCGGGACTAGCGCCTGATGGGACTCGGCGCTGTCATCTCCTTAGGGGCCTTCCCTTCGCCTTGGCCTGCTGGGGTGAGAGACGAAGACTGCGCCATGAGAACGGTCCGAGGCCGTTAACCGGGAGCCCAGGGGCAAGGGAGCCCGCCACCGTCTGCGCCTGTGGCAGGGACTCGGGGACAGCCTGGGCGTGGGGTCGCGTCCTAGTGACAGAACAAGCCCCGGGTGTGCCCACTGGGAGCATTCCGTGTGGAAGCTGGAAGCGCGCTAACTGGAGGCGGCGATTCGTCCTAGGTGATTGCTCAGTCGAGCCTATTTGGCTTTCTGTGGTAGCTCCTAAGTGGGACAGGGAAAAAAAACAGGGAGGCTGGCAGTTAGTGACCAAGTTCTGTTTCGTACCTATTGCTGCAGAAGTTGTGGGTCAGAGTTCTGTTATTATAAATGGTCTCATGTTCAGTCTCAGTGCGTTGTGGGCCTCAGTGTCTGAGACCCACCACCTGCTGTCCTGGCTCTTCAATGAGGGAGACCACAGGAAACTTTCCTACGAATGCCAGATAGGCGGGAACCACTGTGGCTCAGGCATCCTCAGCTCCTGGACTGTGTTTTTGTGTCTGGGGTGCATCTGTGACTAACCTTCCTTGGCTTGACTGTCTTGTGCCTGACCTTGTCAATAGCTTTACCCAACAGTCGTTACCTTTTTACTTGCTTATTTTCATACCTGGCTAGCACGACCCCGCAATTTTTAGATTCTTCCGGGAAATCTAGAATCTGACTCCCTAAGGGGGGATCTTGATGGATTCTAAGCTAATCGGAATGGACTCAAGCCTCTTGCTGTGTGAATTAGGCAAGGGTATTCTGGCCAAGGAGAAATAAGGCTGCTAGGGGTTTCCTGGGAAGGTTCCCTCAGTCTTTTTTTTGTGTGTGAGACGGAGTCTCCCTCTGTCCCCCAGGCTGGAGTGCAGTGGTGCGATCTCAGCTCACTGCAGGCTCCGCTTTCCGGGTTCACACCTTTCTCCTGCCTCAGCCTCCTGAGTAGCTGGGACTACAGGCGCCCGCCACCACGCCCGGTTAATTTTTTGTATTTTTAGTAGAGAGGGGGTTTCATCCCGTTAGCCAGGATGATCTCGATCTCCTGACCTTGTGATCCGCTGAGGCAGGAGAATGGCATGAACCTGGGAGGCGGAGCTTGCAGTGAGCTGAGATCACACCACTGCATTCCAGCCCAGGCTACAAAGGGAGACTCTGTCTCAAAAAAAAAAAAAAAAAAAGAAAGAAAGAAAATTTCAAACATACAAAAGTAGAGAGAATAGTGTAATGAAACCCCATGTTTCACCCATGCATCAATCACCCTCAACTAGTTTCATTGACTGTCAGCATTCTGCCTTTTACTCTATCCCTACCTGCTCCCAGTTCCCAGGGTTATTTTGAAGCAAATCCTAGACACATCATTTCATCCATAAATACTTAAGAATTTAAGAATGTATGTCTAGGGCCAGGCGCTGTGGCTCACGCCTGTAATCCCAACACTTTGGGAGGCTGGGGCGGGTGGGTCACGAGGTCAGGAGATCAAGATCATCCTGTCTAACAGAAACCCTGTCTCCATTAAAAATACAAAAATTAGCCGGGCGTGGTGGCGGGCATCTGTAGTCCCAGCTACTCGGGAGGCTAAGGGAGGAGAATGGTGTGAACCTGGGAGGTGGAGCTTGCAGTGAGCCAAGACACTCCAGCCTGGGTGACAGAGCGAGACTCTGTCTCAAAAAAAAAAAAAAAAAAAAAAAGAATATCTCTAAAAGACAATGCTTTTTTCTAGAGTGGGCAAATCCAAAGACACAAAGTGTTGTCAGGGCCTAGGGAAGATTGAGGAGAAATTCCAGTCAATGGGAATTTGAGAAACTGGCTTCTTTCTGGGGTAATGAAAATGTTCTAAAATTTATTGTAGTGATGGTTGTAAAACTGTGAGTATATTAAACCATGTACATTTTAAGTGGGTGAATGGTATGTGAATTACATCTCAAGCTGTTTAAAAATCAACACCAAGACCTATTAGAAAAAAAAAGATATAATGGGAAAAAAGAATGACTTTTTTTTTTTTTTTTTTAGACAAAGTCTCACTGTGTTGCCCAGGCTGGAGTGCAGTTGCCAGGCACGATCTTGGCTCACTTCAACCTCTGCCTCCCGGGTTCAGGCAATTCTTCTGCCTCAGCCTCCTGAGTAGCTGGGATTACAGGCACGCACCACCATGCTTGGTTAATTTTTGTATTTTTAGTAGAGACGGGATTTCGCCATATTGGTCAGGCTGGTCTTGAACTCCTGACCTTGTGATCCGCCCACCTTGGCCTCCCAAAGTGCTGGGATTACAGGCATGAGCCACCACACCCGGCAAAAGAATGATTTTTTAAAATAACTACACAATCATTAATTCACCTATAATGTTAGGAATAGTTTCTTAATATTATAAAATATTCAGTGTTTAAGTTACCCCATTTGTGTCTTTTTTTATATTTTACTTATTCAAATTAGGATATGAACAAAGTTCATACCTTGCCATTTGGTTAATATGTACTGACGTCTCATGTGGATGTCTTCCACATGTGATTTTTCATTTTATTTCCATTTATTTGTGTTTTGTTTTGTTTTGTTTTGTTTTGTTTTGAGACGGAGTCTTGCCCTATCACCCAGGCTGGAGTGCAATGGCGCAATCTCGGTTCACTGCAACCTCCGCCTCCCTGGTCAAGCGATTCCCCTACCCCAGCCTCCCAAGTAGCTGGGATTACAGGCTTGGGCCACTGCACCCAGCCTCAGGAGGCTGGAGCAGGAGAATCGCTTGACCAGGGAGGCGGAGGTTGCAGTGAGCCAAGATCGCACCTGGACTCCAGTCTGGGTGATAGGGTGAGACTCCATCTCAAAACGAAAGTATGAACTTTGTTCATATCCTAATTCAAATAAGTAAAATATAAAAAAGACACAAATGGGGTAATTTAAACACTGAATATGGATTCAGCCATATGTGGATTTTTAACATATTGAATGTGTTTTAATTCATTTCAGTGAATAACTTAATTCTCCACTTGACCCAACCTTGGTCAAGAGGAGCTCCTTCAAGCTTGCTCCTATGTCCTTGTGACATGACCCCAGTACTCTTTGATAGCTTCTTTGCTTTCTGGTATGGGCATTCTGCAAATGTCCTGCTTCAGCCCTGGAATCTGTTATTTCCCTGAGGAGCCTGGTTCTTTTTAGTGGGAAATGTGTTTCAGAGACCACAATCTGTGTACTAGAATGACTCATTATTACTAGCGTAGCCATTATAGACTTCTTCAATGTAAAATTACTTTTTAAGAAAAAATGTATTTTGGATTTATCCTGATATTTCTAATGAGATTTAGGATTACAGTGATTTAATTTTTTTTTCTTTTTTTTTGAGACGGAGTTTCACTCTTGTTGCCCAGGCTGGAGTGCAATGGTGCGATCTCGGCTCACTGCAACCTCTGCCTCCCAGGTTCAAGCGATTCCCCTGCCTCAGCCTCCTAAGTAACTAGGACTACAAGCCCGCGTCACCACGCCCAGCTAATTTTTTGTATTTTAGTAGAGTTGGAGTTTCACCATTTTGGCCAGGATGGTCTCAATCTCCTGACCTCATTATCCTCCTGCCTTGGCCTCCCAAAGTGTCTGGATTACAGGTGTGAGCCACCACGCAGGGCTGCAAACATACTTTAATATGGCAAAACAATCACATACATCATGCATTTTTCACTTTGTAGCATGTTTATGTCTTGCAGAATCTGCCGTGGTCTCACGTGGAAAAATGTTTAATAAGAACTTCAATATTACATTTCTGTCTACTGTTTCCATGTCTGTATCAATAATGCAGTCGTTTGAGGAACAACTTTCTCCACATCAGTGTTTATATTATTCATTTTTAGGCTTGGTGCTTAAGCTTAGTGATTGCCTTTTGTAGGATTGTGTCGTAAGAGCAAAGAATGACCATATATTGTTACATTAAAAATGTTACCTTTGGCCGGGCACGGTGGCTTAGGCCTGTAATTCCAGCAATTTGAGAGGCTGAGGCAGGTGAATCACCTGAGGTCAGGAGTTCAAGACCAGCCTGGCCAACATGGCAAAACCCTGTCTCTACTAAAAATACAAAAACTAGCCAGGTGTGGTGGCGGGCACCTGTAATCCCAGCTACTCAGGAGGCTGAAACAGGAGAATGGCTTGAGCTCAGGAGGTGGAGGTTGCAGTGAGCTGAGATGGTGCCACTGCACTCCTCCAGCCTGCCTCTGTACTCCTCCAGCCTGCCTCTGTCTCAAAAAAAAAAAAAAAAAAAAAAAAAAAAAAAGTTACTTTTACCTTGATGTCCAAATAAAGGGGAAGAAAATTTTTTTTTTTTTTTTTTTTTGAGACGGAGTCTCGCGCTGTCACCCAGGCTGGAGTGCAGTGGCCGGATCTCAGCTCACTGCAAGCTCCGCCTCCCGGGTTCACGCCATTCTCCTGCCTCAGCCTCCCGAGTAGCTGGGACTACAGGCGTCCGCCACCTCGCCTGGCTAGTTTTTTGTATTTTTATTTTTAGTAGAGACGGGGTTTCACCATGTTAACCAGGATGGTCTCGATCTCCTGACCTCGTGATCCGCCCGTCTCGGCCTCCCAAAGTGCTGGGATTACAGGCTTGAGCCACCGCGCCCGGCCCACATTGACTACATTTATAGGCTTCTCTCCAGAATGAGTTCTTTGCTGTTCAGTAAGGTGAGAATTCTTGCCGCAGGATTTTCCACACTGGTGACATTCATGAGGTTTCTCTCTAGTGTGAAATCTCTGATGCCAAATAAGTAATCAGCTACAGCTGATTTGTCACACTCAGGACACTCCCAGTTTCTCTGCGGTATGATTTATCTGATGAGCAACAAGTGAGAACTGTAATTGAAGCATTTCCAACACTGATTACAGTCATGAAGCTTCTCTCCAGTATGAGTTATTTTATGTGCAACAAACCCAGAGCTGTATAGAAAGATTTGCTACCTTGACTACATTCATAAGGCTTCTCTCCATTACACTTTCCTTGATGCAAATTAAAATCAAGGATGTCACTGAAAGATTTCTCACATTGATTACAATGGAATTGTTTTTCTTCAGTGTGAGTTTTCTATTGCCCAATTAGATAAGATCTCCTGCTGAAAGCTCTCTGATGTTCCTGATGTTCCCAGAGTCTCCAGTATGAGTTATGCAATGTCTAACAAGGTGGGAGCACCAGGCTGAAAAACTTTCCACATTGATTACATTAATAAATTTTCTATCTAATA